CGGGGGGATGCTGCTCGGAGTCGCTCACAGTGCCCCTAGTTGACCCCCAAGCAGAAACAGAAAACGACTCCGATCTCCCTTGTGCTGGTAACTTAACATACTGTTATCCTGCAAAAAGCACTGTGGAGCATCAGCTCGCTGCCAGCACACCAGCAACGCCAGCCTCGGCGGGAAGGATGTCCATAAGCGACCACTTTAACTCTGCTACTACTGAGGAAGAGGAGGAAAAGTCTCAGAATATGGTGAACGGGGCACACGGGTCCACCTCACCCCTAAGCGCATGGCACAGCCCGGCCCAGCTGTCCAAGAGCCGCCCTGGGAGTGCACATCCATGTCCGAGCCCGCGCGGAGGCGCCTTGGGCTCCGTGCAGGGGAGCATCCCTGGCGAAGTCCTTGACGCGCGGCGTCTGCGGGATGACGATTACGCGAGGCTTCTCTCTGGGGTAGAGCACAGCTGGCTTGTCCAGAGACTGTTGCCTACAGGAATTTTTAAGGTTAAACAGCTTCAGAAAGCACACTGTAAGTTTTTGCGCAACAACAGGCATTTCCACGTAGCACAGCAGTCTTGACTCAGGCTTTTTGATGTAAATCACTATGTATTAGGAGTCTTTATTTTTTATTGGTTTTGCACAAATATTTTAGCAATAGTAGAAAAACATTCCCTCCAACCTTTTTCTGCTCCTCCTTAGCCTTCTACATACCAGTCACAGCTTCCCCCGATTCATCTCCCCACGCGCTTTGGCCCCCCTGCAGCATCCCTGCACACAGCGGTTGCCCATTGCGCTGTGCCAGGACATCCAGCCCTTCTCTGCCTTTTTATCTGAGCCTCTTGTTTTGCCACCCACACAGAGCCCATGTCTTGCCACTGCAAGTTACACATCTGAGGTAATGACTGTTAAACTGATCATGAATAACAGCTTATTTGCAGTGTGCAGGCATATGATCAATAACATAGAATCAATATGCTAAGAAATACACAGTAGCATATAGGATGCCTTAGCTCCTTGGCACTCATGCTCCATTCCTCAGCACAGATACAGAACAGCCCTTTGAAGGACGTTGTGCGTTGTGTTTTGTTTGCTTTCTTGTTGTAGCTGCGCTTCTTTTGAAATACTCAAAGAAATCAGGCCTCTGGACAGGCCAGGAAACAGCTGTGTATATTGGGGACTACCTGAACGTGGCAAAGGAAGGCAAACAGAGAAATGCGTTTTGGATACACTTCTTGCATCAAGAGGAAAGTTTGGGAAGGTACTGTTTGAACCAGGTCCTTAAACCAGATATTTACCCATGCTGATTCTGTATAAATATGAATGAAAATTGTCTGATACAATTTGACAGCCCAGTGCCTTGTTGCACAGTAGGCCTTAACCAGTGCTTTTGGAAGACTGTACAAGTTTGTACTAGGGAAACTACTGAAAACACAGTCACATTAGGAGAAGACTTTTCCTTTATTTTAGCTTGCACTCAGTCAGGCTTTGACTGATATTCTGAAGCATGGATGTTTTATGCTTTTCCAAACCCCCTGGACATTTTGCCAGTCTTTACTACACTAGTTCTTCCCACCACCCCATGTACCACTCCACTTTTGCATTTTGGGAAGAACAAGCTACTTCATTATTTTCTTCTGGCAACCGTGTTAGTGTCCATCTTGTCATTACGTCTCTTAGGCCTGACTTCACCTTCATCCATGCTGGGATAATTGCATGGGAGCTTAAGTGACTCCTCTGTTTATTTGACCTATGGCTTTGTGCTAGAGCATTCCTGTTTCTGATATTGCCACACATTCAAACAAGGCACCCTTAATTTAAAATAAGCTTGCTGTTTAAGAGAGTATTGCCCAAATTGACAGTAGCTGACCTGACAGATTTCAGAGGCGGCTTTTTCATAAAACAAGCCTCTCTCATCTTACTCACGGGTAGGAGATTTAGCAATTAGTGTTCCTCACGAGGGCACAAGCACAGGCACTCTCGCAGTCAAAACAAACTTGGTGCTTGCCTTCGTCTTCCCATGTGGACACCAACATTTGCTCTGGCCATAGCGGCCCGACTGCAGCTCCGCTCCAGCTGCAGGCTGATGCAGCAACCTGGGTGAAGCTGGTGCTGGGCTGGAGTTGGTAAGGACCAGTGAGGAGCAGACGCTACCTGTCTGCTTTGTCCCTAGTCCCTTGCACCAGGGGAGCTGTGCTTGTTGGTAGTCACAGATTTTGGATTGTTATTGGAAATAGCTTATGAATTAGTATGGGTTAAGAATTGTATTTTTAGTACTTCTGATTTAGACGTTCCTTCAGAGTCAGGAAGAGTTGTCTTCTTTAAACATTCTCAGTGTTAGGAAATCAAAGGGCATTTGCTTAATCTTTACAGCATTTTATGCCTCTAAAAGAAAGAAAACATAATTTTAATTGCTGGCATTTTAAATGGCACTGCCAACAGCTGGCTTTGCCTGTGAGCAACTGGGCTCTGCCTTGCAGTGATGTTTCTGTTTTGCTATCAAGGCTTCACAATCACAGTCTGCTGCAAATCTGGCTACACCAAGCGCTTGTCTGTTTGTTTAGGTACGTTGGGAAAGAATATAAGGAAGAAAAAGGGCTGCTTCATCATTTCAGCGACGTGGAACGACAGATGACTGCCCAGTACTATGTGACAGAGTTCAACAAGAGGCTGTATGAGCAAAAGGTCCCCACACAAATCTTTTATATCCCTTCTGCAGTACTCCTGGTAAGAGCTCTCTCTGAAATGATACAAGGGAATTGATATATCGAGAGGGTTGTAAATCACTTTTAATTTAAAATACCAGTACTTAGGCCACCTGTAGCTGGCACATTATAGTTCATATGATCTTACCAGCTAAATGCATTAGCTCATTTCAGGATATGACATCTACATGCAGAACTGTGTCTTCTCCAGGTAAAACAGAAATGAGTAGATGGGGTGCACTTCCCAGCGTGGGAGTTGGATCCAATACTCATACATGCCTTACTTAAATATTCATTATGTACCTTTTAGTTATATTCTACACTTAATTTTTTACTTGTTTTTTCAGATACAGAGAGATAAGTAGTTTCTCTCTGTACATGGTACAAAGCAGAATTAATTTGTTTCAATATTCGTACGTGCACTGTAGCATGATGTGCACATTACTCTCTCTGCTAGGCAGTCAGGCACTAGATCTGACTTATGCCATCGACCAGTAAGGCCTAATGAGAACCTGGCACCTGTTCTCGAGTCTTTCTACGAAGAAATTAATAATTAAATAGAAAAACTGCTGATTATTTGCACATTTAAGATGAAACAGATGCAAGTTTATCCATGGGTAGTGTTCTTTACCTTTCTAGCTTCATCTTTAGACATAATCCCGTGAAACATTTTTTCCAGTTTGCTGAAAAAAATGAACCTCGGTAGAACTTGTCACTAACAGAGTCTGGCCTTCCAAGCTGATTTCATATTGTATCGCATTTTGTCATTGTTCTAGGGAAATGTGAACTCCTCTTCTAAACATGTGTTTTTGAGTCACCAGTAGAATATGTACACTTTTTTTCCATCTATTTTTGATGGAAATTCTAGGAGGAAAAACAAAAATTCAGTTAGTAGAGATTTAGCATCCTTGTTTTCCCTTCTCTGCTTGGATAACTAACATTAAAACTCTTTTCAGATCCTGGAAGACAGAACTATAATAGGATGTGTGAGTGTGGAGCCCTACATCCTTGGAGAGTTTGTGAAGCTGTCTAATAACACAAAGATAGTAAAGAACGAGTACAAAGCCACACAGTACGGGTTGGCCTATGGCCACTTCTGCTATGAGTTCTCCAAAGGAACAGATGTTGTTGTTGATCTACAAGGTTTGTATTACAGAGAGTTTCACATATTGCATAGCCTCTTGCGTTCCAGAATATGCTATACAAATGGCATATCCTCTCCAAATGATCCAAAGTGAAGGAGATATGAGCAGATACACTCTTGGCTTGTGCAGTGCTTTTGCTGTCCAGGTGGACAGAACTGAGTACAGTAACACAAAGATTATGCTGTTTGATACCAAGATGTGTCCTTTCTTCTGCAGGCTGGGTGACAGGTAACGGGAAAGGCCTCATTTACCTCACAGACCCCCAGATTCATTCTCTGAATCGTAAAGATGTTTCGCACACCAACTTTGGAAAGAGAGGAATTTATTACTTCTTCCATAATCAACATGTGGAGTGCAATGAGATCTGTCATTGCCTTTCCTTAACGAGGCCCATAATAGAACCACCAGTATAGACTCATGCAAGACAGTCCAGCGGAAAATGGCCCAGAAGACGGACAGTATTTTCTTCTGCACACATTGAGGAATGCTTTGAGTCCATGAGAAGAACAGTGCTGCTGAGGCAATACCACATCAGACCAGTCAGTTCTTACCTGAACAAGCCTGGGAAAGGTTTGGTCTTTGCATCCAGGCTCGTAATACCATCTTGTATACCATCTGATTTGTGTGTTTTTATAGCCATTTATAAGAATTAACAAGGAAGTGTAAGAGGTGTAAGACTGTGGTCTCCAAATTTCACATCTTAGCAAGGCGTGTCCTGCAGGACTAGATAGGCTGCTAATCAAGTTGCAGATTCATTAAGGGCAGTAGGCATCACCTGCTCCTTGGAAATGAAATATGAAGCAGAAAGAGATGGAAGCAGAGAGCTGTACTTCAACTATTTTGGTTTAACTGTACTTGTAAAATTCTCAGCAACTTGTGCAAGTGCTTCAGGGAACAAAAGGTATTGTACTGAAGGTCTGTTTGTGCATGTTTATGTATGTGAACACACAATGCCTAAACAGAAGGAACTATGGTATTAACTGCAACAGCCAAGAAGACTACTGCCCTTAGAGGAAAAAAAAAAAAAAAAAAAAAAAAACCTTATCAGAACCACCTTCGAGAAAAAAAAATGATTTAAGACTGAGAAGGTCCCCGTGCAGGCAGCAGCCTGAAGGCACACGGGCACCTCAGCGAGCCCTACACATGTGTTTGGTGGAGTCTTAGCCCCCGAATGGAGCCACCACTAGAAGAAGTTTTGTTTCCCAGATACTGCATGGCAGTTTGCAAACTGACGCACTAATGGGAATTTAGAGATACAAGTCTAACTGTCCTGCATGCCTGTAATAGTCTGCATGCTTCCTCCACCAGCACTGCAGCAGAAAGACTCATGGTAACCGTGAGAGTCTGCAGCTCAAAATCCACTTATCACCCCTGGCAGATCTGCCATAGTTTGTTGCATACAGACCTGGTTTGGCAGAGCTGCTCTGCCAGACTACAGTTAAATATATCTGACTCCAGCACACAGGCCATTTGGTATATGAGCTAAGTAAGCAATCAGAAGTGCAGTTTACACTTAGCAGTGGACAGGAACTGGAACCAGCTTATAAGAAAAAGAAAACAAAACCCAAAAACCTATAGCATTTAGGTGATATGTTTACACACCATCCCTGTCGACAACCGCAAGAGCCCTTATCCTCTCACTGCAGCCCACTCGGGCAGCTAAAGACTTAATTTTACCCACACAATGAGGTATTTTCTTGTCACTTCTGCCTATGCTGAGAACATACTTCACTGTCACACATCCAAACAGCTGCAGCTTAGAATATGTTCCTAATGCAAACATTTGAGCTGTATTTTGGTTATTGTTCAAGGTTATAAAGTATACTTGGAGAGCCCCTGATTTTTAACACCGGCACTCTTTGAACGGCCTGTGGTATGCATGCTGGCCACATGCTTCAATAGTGCTCGCCCGGGTTAGAGGCAGCTGCAGCTTTCTACTTTTTATGAAACAATCTTTTGTGGTTTTTCTGTTGTGGTGGTGGTTTTTTTTTTTAAACCAAAGCTTGTAATTCATTCATGTGACCTCAGTGGACTCTTGCGAGCCACCACCTGGAGAAGCTCAGACTGTTAGCTGCAGAGCTATGCTGGTCGCTTCCCATAACCCCACTGAGGACGTGGTCAGATGCCATCGACCATCGACACCGCCGGTTCCAGGTGCTCCGTCTCATCCCTATGGTCTTCCTGAGCACAGTCTAACTGGTGCAAGCGACGATAAGGCAGAGATAAAAACTACACCGATGTTACAGTGGCCTGGAAAGAGGCCTACCGCAGGCCTTCAGTTTAAGCCTGCTGCAGGCAGGTTGTCAGGAGCTAAGCGCGCCGGGCAGCTGGGCTTCCCCCTCAGTGACCAATGGGAGAGTAACACCACCCACCGTGGGGAAGGGGCCTGTCTCAGCCTGTGTCATGAGCACACTGCAGATATGGCTCTCACATTTCACACACACTCGCACGCAGAGCCTCCCTCAAAGACTCATGGCAACAAGAAGTGCAGGGGCATTCACCCCTGCCAACAGAGCAACCTGAAGAGAAAAGAGAAATAAAAATTCTGATTAAACCAGAGGGCCTGTCTTTCTTTGCACCTGCAGGTTGCATCTAAGTTCACATTGCACAGCAGACAGCAAGTGCTCTTGCCATCTTTCGGCCGGTCCTTCCCAGGGCTGTTCGCCTAACCAGGAGGGAGGCAGAAAAGCTGCTTCTGTGAAGTGTCGGGGCCGGGCTCTGCGTGCTCCCTCTGAGCGCCACGTACGACCAGAAGAGCTCTCAGGAGTGGAGTTCGCTGCTGCACAGGAATCTGCCTTGCAAACCAAAATAAAACTGATGCTTTATTCCTCGAGGACCTTGCCAACATATCCAGAATTTGTGCTTGCACAAGTAATACAAAGAAGTTCATCATCTGAAAAATGGTAGTTAGCTTTCCTGCTTCCTTCATCTCCCTTTCCCCTCGAAAGCCAAGATGTGCCCTGACACTCCTTTGCCCCATGCCACAAAGCCTGTGATCAGTCCTCTGGGGAGGAGATTTTGATGATGAGAAAGGGAACACCGCACTGAGCTGCCACAAAGAGATGGGTTCCCATCACAGTGTTAACCTTTGCAAAATCATCAACTTCTGTTTCTTCTAGCAGCAGAGATTTTTAGTCTTTTGATCTTGCTTTTTAGCACTGCTATCATTTTCGAAGTAATGTTCGTGCTGAGTTGTTTAGAAAATGCCCTATCCCGACACCCAACAGTTCATACTAGGTGTGAAGCATGATCAGCCAGATAAAAAAATAAATAAATAAATCTCTTTATTATGGTGCATAAACCTTCAGTTCTTGGGAGCTGGGCAGCTGCGCAGGAAGAAAAATGCATTCAAAAATATAATGCTAGTGTGAATAATCCTTTCCCGAGTGCTGCCCGCAGCCTGCCTCAGCTTTGTCAGGTGAACTTGAACCAGGCCACAGCTTTGCTGCGGTTCCCATTGCACGCTGCCTGTCACCCCAGGGCATTCACCATCTTGCCTGTTGTTAGAAGCGAGCAAACAATCCATCATTGAGCCGCCGAGTCACTCGCTCATAGAAAAGTAAAATCGGCATGTGACGGTACACTCGGCCCCACTGTTTCGCAGATTAAAGTGATACATGGAAACTCACGTGTTACTGGGAAGATTAAGCCAGTTATCTTGTTCTGCAGCCAATAAAGGCCTGTCTTGTCTGCCCGAGGAAAGTGCCAGATTTAACCAAGTGACAAAAATCGTGCATACATCGGCAGGAGTGCCTGGGAAATAGGGCCATAGAATCTGGAGAGGAAACAAAGATAGCAAGCAAGATTTCAGGAATTAATAGGCAGCAGGGATGCTGTGTTAAAGCCTCTCTGTGGAGCTCTACAGAGACAATTAAAAGCAAAACAAAACCCCCTGACAATGTGCGAAGAACAAAGTGTTCTCATACACTGTTAGCTCCATTGGCCCTGCAGGGCCTGGCTCATGACATGTTGCGTTTGAGGTACCCTCCTAAAGCATGAGCTTTGCATTTTCCCACTTATGTTTCTCTTAATTAAAATAAAATGGAATTAAGCTATGCTTTTGAATAAATCTACATGCAGGAAAAATTAATATTTAGAATTCTTCCTAATATTGCCATAGTAGCATTTAGCAACTGTCTTCCTTTGCCATTTTATATAATAAGTTTTACCATCACAACTAAGTTCATGGCTATCATTTTTTTTGAACAAGCAATTTTTAAAAGTTAATATGAAGTATGAGCTTGTCCAAGTCCCAGTTATAGTAGGAATCATAATATTTAACCTTGTAGCTTCTCCCAAGACTAATATTCACAGTTCAGACTCAAATGCGGATGTATCAACACACTAGCTCTCCTTCAGCCCTCTGTCTGCATCCCACCCTTTAGCACTGGTTTGAAATCCTGAATTAATCGATCTGTGAATTGTCACTCAGAGAACTGCAGCACCAGCGCTTCAGCAGCCACCACTTTCCCTGCAGATACTGAGCTTTCCGCAGCACGAGGGGAGCTCACGCTCACACGGATGCCTCAGCGAGTGTTTTGCCTGCACGTGCCCAGCATATTTGGCCTGCTCATGTCCATGACACTCCGTCCAGGCTCGAGGGTGTTAGGCTTACGTTGTCCACAGCACCGTGATGCCGCTTTCCACCACCATGGTTGCTGGACCCCCATGCTGGCTGCCTTGCAGTGTGATTTTTCCCTGTGCCGCTGTGGGGAGGTGAGGAGACTCTGACACACTGGGTTTGGATGAAGTCTGACAAAGCGCTTGCCCCACAAGGCAGAGCAGCCACATGCTGGGCTGCAGTGTGCGCCCCATCACACCTGAGGCACAAACACCTCATGCTCTGACAGCCAGGCAATACAGTGACATATCTGCATCTGCCCCTTCGAGAAGCCAGGCAGTAAGGAAGCGTTGTCTCTCTATCCTTCTGTAAGGATGCAGACGAAAGGCAGGGGTCTTACTTGATACATTTCATGCTCTGGTTTACAAAAATTAACTAATCTGATAGCAAAAGAGAAAAAAAAAGGACATCAGTCAGCACAAGAGCGTTGACAGTTTTATTTCCTCACTGCTTTGCTAATATCTACAAGTGCTACAAAGAACTAAAACCTGAAGCACTGTTTCTTTCCAGCCTCAGTTTATTCTCAGTACCAAATCCACCAACTTCCCTCACCGGCTACTTTTAAGAGGGATTGCTATCTCTACTGAAAAGACAGCAAGTCATTAGGATCTCTGCCATCCCCAGACACTGCTGACCTAGCTGCCGAGAGCCCTGCACGTGTCACAGGACAACCCACACAGGGCTCAGGAAGGCCCCGAGCGGGCGGATTAGGAGCTGCTGGGCTTGCGTGTCGCCCTGATGGGGCCATGCAGGACCCCTGCGGTGCAGCTGCGGCCGGCGGCGCAGGGCAGC